GGGGGGGGGGTTGGGGGCTTGAATTGATTAGTTTTACAAAACGTGTATGTTTTTTATGCATGTGAGATTCATTTAATTGAGCAAGTGATAGACCATAAAAAGGAAACAGCTAACCCAGGTGTGGACAAAATATAAGTTGGTGGTGATGTTTGGTGGAGAAAAAAACCGGGGGAAAAGGGGGGGGTAAGGTTTATTGTAAGTCTCAAGCCATCTTCAATGTTTTTTGAATGGATGCTACACACATGTTTCGTCTCCTGTGAGATGTTACCATTGTGTAACGCTTGTTTGTTACAATCTGCAATTTACTGTGAGATGCTGCCATTATATAAGACTTGTTTTTTTTTTTCAATTTGTTGCAGCCTTACTGTATATTTTACCCCTCACCATAGTCGCTAGCTTTTCTTACTCATACCCAAGTAGCGCTTCATTCACTACTGCTTCTAAATCACTCACTACAAACTCATCCCTTCATCCATTCGCTAGCATTTCTTACTCATACCCAAATAGCGCTTCATTCACTACTGCTTCCAAATCACTCACTACAAACTCATCCCTTCATCCATTCGCTAGCATTTCTTACTCATACCCAAATAGCGCTTCATTCACTACTGCTTCTAAATCACTCACTACAAACTCATCCCTTCATCCATTCGCTAGCATTTCTTACTCATACCCAAATAGCGCTTCATTCACTACTGCTTCTAAATCACTCACTACAAACTCATCCCTTCATCCATTCGCTAGCATTTCTTACTCATACCCAAATAGCGCTTCATTCACTACTGCTTCTAAATCACTCACTACAAACTCATCCCTTCATCCATTCGCTAGCATTTCTTACTCATACCCAAGTAGCGCTTCATTCACTTCTGCTTCTAAATCACTCACTACAAACTCATCCCTCCATCCACCAAATGCACGATCCCATCCACAAAACCAGCTCTTTCCACTCAACCCAATTGTCTTCTCAACCTCTATTTGTACAGGCAACCGTCTATTCGGTGTCCACTAAAGATGGAAAGGAACCTTCATTTAAGGGCAGTTTTAAAAAATGTTGTCAAATGTCTGCATTCAAATCAAATCATCTGTCCACACAGAGTTACCATCTACACTACACCTCTTAACAAACTTTCTTTCTTTCCTCTTTTATTTTTTCTGCGTAATGCGTTTACAGAATATTTAAATTATTTTAAACTCTTCAGTGCGTTTAAACTCGTCTTTGATAGAAAGTTTAAAAAAAATAGTTACAGTTTTTAAGACGTTGTATTCCCTGTCATCCCTTTCAGTCATCCCTCCCTGTCAGCACTACCTGTCATCCCTCTCAGTCAGCCCTCCCTGTCATCCCTCTCAGTCAGCCCTCCCTGTCAGCACTCCCTGTCATCCCTCTCGGTCATCCCTCCCTGTCAGCACTCCCTGTCATCCCTCTCGGTCATCCCTCCCTGTCAGCACTCCCTGTCATCCCTCTCAGTCAGCCCTCCCTGTCATCCCTCTCAGTCATCCCTCTCAGTCATCCCTCCCTGTCAGCACTCCCTGTCATCCCTCTTAGTCAGCCCTACCTGTCAGCACTCCCTGTCAGAACGCCCTTTCAGCACTCCCTTCAGCACTCCCTGTCAGCACTCCCTGTCAGCACTCCCTGTCAGCATTCCCTGTCAGCATTCCCTGTCAACCCTCCTTGTCAGTACTCCCTGTCAGCACTCCCTGTTGGCACTCCCTGTCAGCAGTCCCTGTCAGCACACTGATACGATGCAAAGGCACCGTCAACTCTTCAACCAATGTAAGACTAAAGAAGATGTTGCGTCTTAAACTCATTTTGTCTTTTTTTTTTTTTTGTTCCGTTTGTATACCACTTTTTCAAGTTTATAGACTAAAGAAGATGTTGCGTCTTAAACTCATTTTGTCTTTTTTTTTTTTTTTGGTACCGTTTGATTACCACTTTTTCAAGTTTATCGGTCGGTAACCATGGCAAAAATAGTAACAGCAGTAACAACACTGAGCGTAGTAACATTTAAAAGTCGGTGCCACTTCAGCGTCGGGCATCGGACGTTCTTCTTAATCGCCATTGGTTACTCGCATCACGTGATGCCAATGGAGGTCACTTTGATGTCTTTCTCCTAAATTTTCCCTGGACCTCTCTGGTTCTCTCAAAGGATGCTTTGCCCACAGAAGCCTGGTCGCTTAACCAGAGCCAAACGCTCACTTAACACTGACGTCACCCCCAGCAACCCCATAAGCAGTTACATCCGGAGCACTAGCAAATGCTTCCCTGTGCCTCGGTGTAACACGGTCCAAAATGAACAATCATTTTTCCCCCACCGCACAATCATCGCTTGGAACCACCTGGACTATGCCGCCGTTGGACTTGGCGTCAATCGAGAGCTTCAAGGCTGCCCTGGCATATGCTGGGAGCCGTTCAAATGCCAGCACCGCTTCCCCCAACCGTTGCACATATGCCCGTGCATGGATTCAGCAACGTACCCTACCAGAACCGGAACCAGATTAATATGTCTCGGTTACACGTTGATGAGATGATTTACGCAGTAGTTTTCACTGTAAGTTTAGGCTTTTGGATGGGGGGGGGGGGGGCGCGGTGTGAGGTCATTGTGTTGGACATTGACAAAATACTGAATGTTGCGCATTGTTTTGTACACCACATATTTTATTGTGTACACGTTGTTGTGCAGTCCTTGGTCAAGTACCCCATGTTGGAAGAACTCCATGTTGTTCTCTTGAAATTAAAAACGTTAAACTAACCTTGATGGTTGCCATTGCTTGTTACATTATCTTCCTTGTGAAGTGGATTAGCAACGTAATACTTTCAACACATTGACATATATTTTATAATCTGTAAAATAATAAGAAGA